AGTTACGAGTACATCTAAGATAGTGTAAATATTTTAATTTCTTATACTTATTTATTGGATAAACATTTTTTATTGATATTTATAGAAAAAATAAATCAAATTATGGTTATTAAGTCAAAAATAGCTTTAAGTAAGCTACTAGTAAATGTATTACTTTTAATTATTTTAATAACTGTATTCTAATTTTAACGAATGTTTTCATTTGTTTTTTTCTTCAATTATCTTAAAAAGTACTGAAAATTTTAAATTTTAACCTCTTAAGATGATCAACTTTTGTTAAATTGTCTACTCTAAAGTCTTATTGAAAGACGATGATCTAAGCATTTTTTTTACCATAAAAAGTGTCTTCAGATTCTAAACATATTAAATATGTATATATATATAAATGCATCATTGTAAAGTAAATATATTCATGAAAAAAAAAAATATATATATATATTTTATCGTATATATTATTCAAGAATCATATATACATTATACAAATGAAAGCAAAGTTTCAAGCGTAATAAATAATACATAATTTTAGCCAACGAGTAATTAAAATAGTCGAAATACAGTTCAAGAACATTTTAAAACCATTAATTATCAATATATCCAATTTCTTATTGAAATTCAAAAATATATCTTATAGTGGAAGAATAGACAAAATAATCATACATTTTTCTTTTTAAACACCATCTAAAAAAAAAATAGGGAAATGCTTTTTATGTTCTTTGAATTTATCATTTATGTTCAGATATTAGTATAACATAAATTTAATTATTTTTTTATGCACTGGCATAATTTTATATTAAAGAAAGTTATCAATAATTTATAATTAAAAACAATATTTATACGATAGTGTTTTTAAACACGCATGTTATAGTAGAACTCGTTAAACGGTATTTTAAGTGACTCACTAGAGAAAATACGTGATCTAAATTAAAACATGTTATGAAAAATAAATATTAAACCACTTATTAAAAAAGTACAAAACATAAGTATAATCTATAATATATTGAAATTCGTAATATTGCATTAACTTTGATGCGATGATAAACATTGTATATATATAAGTATATAATTATATTGAATTTAAGTTCTCTATAGACGAAAATCAAACACTATCATACTATAGTATTTATACAAAATTTACAATACTATGATACTATACAATAATAATAATAATTATTTTTTTTTTTTAATCCCTTTAACAACTATGTAACAAATGATACGGAAAACCTAAAAAAAGTCACGTAAAAACTAATACCTACATTATATGTGTCATCCTTATATTCATATTTCAAACCAGAATTTTACAAATAAATTTATTCGTACAAAACACCAGTTACTACAAGATTATATATTATAATTTGGATCAAAATAGTATAAAATGTCCAATAAAGAAAAATGAATAAATAAATACTAATAATATCATATTTAATATCATTATTCAAATAAGAATAGTAAAAAGATAAGCTTTGTATCAAAATTGCATTGAAAGTTATTCAAAAAAAAAAGATAAATAAATAAATAGATAAATTAAATATAATAGGTATTTTAGTAATACCTCGCGATTAACTGTCTTAAACGGAGCCATATTTAAATATTTACAATTATTATACCTTTATTAGTTTTAAAATTGGTATTGTTGTATGATGTATACTATTATGGAAAAAAAAAAAAAAAATATCTTAAAACATAAGTTAATTTTTTATCTTGTTTATACCAATCTTGAATTTTTTTCACAAACATGTTTAATATTTTTCTAGAAATACGTGTATACCGATAACACGGGCGTGCAATATTCTATTTATAATTCACTATTCCATTATACTGGTAGGTGACAGACTTTAACGAATAATTGAAGTTTTACTGAAAATATAAAAAAATTTAAAATGATTTATGTACTGCGGTTATTTTTTTTTATGTATTTGTATGTAGTGATCACATTTTTGTATGATTTTTATTTATTAACAAAAATTATTCAATGACCTTAGTTGTTTTCCCAGTATTTTTCATAACATGAAAAGTTGACAGTTGACTATTGATATTTAAAATTGATTAACTGGGAGGGGGGGATAAAAACTGAACGAGCTTACTATATTTTGTAATATTCAAGACATATTTATTTATTTTTTAATATTGCACCGTATACTCGTTACTCCACTTAAATTTTGGTTTATACTCTCTCGTTACTATTATCTATTAGTTAGATACATATTTTATAAACTTGTATAACAAAATTATTTTTTTACATGAAATCTTTATTGTTTCATTATTGCAGATAATCCCAGCTATATGTAAATATTTCATCACGACTGAAATCTATTTTATTAAAATTGTACCTCGATTGTCAATTTAAACTTAATTTTTTAATTATATCGATGTTTAGTTTTTGTATAGTCTTCCTTTTTTTCTCTGTCATTTTATACACACACACATATATTAAAATATGTATATTAATAGGCTATTTTTTGAAGCAAATTCACAAATCAAACTCGACTGAATTAGATTCTCATTTAAAATGTATTCCATATATGAGTGTAATATTTAACCAGCTTTAATAGTTTATTTACTGTCTATTTAATTTTATATTTATATTTTTGATTTCACAATGCGTAATAACAATATACCAGCTATTCGGTTTGTTCTTTTCTAAAATATCTGCATGATATAAAATATGTCAGTACCACGTAGCATGGTGTTATACATTTTTATATTTTTACACGAATTTGCAGAAGTGATCATACCCGTATTCGTGGTTTTTTTTTTTAGTACCTAATCCGAAAAGGAATGAGTTTTTTCTTGAATGTACGATAGAGGTTGGAAATTAGTTACTTTTATTTCTTAGAAATGAGGAATGTAACAAATTTATTTTTAAAAGGAACGCTAAAAAAATGAATATATGCTTGAGTTTAAATTATCATATGCACGCGCGTGTATAAAGATTTAAAAACGAATTTTTAGGAAATACGAAAAAAATAATGATAAATATGCAAGTATGTTATCGTGTGGGTGGGGGGTAGATTACATATATTACTTGTACTTTTCGTAATTTAACTTTACAGTGGGAGTGTAGCGTGTAAATGAATTTGGGATTTACGACTTCGAATATAAACGACGTGGTATTCGAATTTGTTTCTATGTTACTACATACGCCTTTCCTCTTATTCTTTTCATGTGGTCACTAATACATTTTACGTCAGTATAACGCTTAAAGGTTCGCATAATTACTTTTTTGTTGTTGTTATTATTATTTTTTTTTTCAAACCTCCATTTTTCATACCTAGTTATTTACGACTAATGCTGCAGTTGAAAGAAAAAAATGAATAATATACACAATCACACAATATTATTTTCATATTTCAGTTTTGTTATGTGTGGCTTACAGTTATTCTTACAGCTGTATCAATATTGTTCTAAGTTAGTACGGCGTATATCTGATAAATTTCGATTCTTCCTTAGTTTATATGTTAGCTGAGGTTAACTGATTTGTTACGTTTAAGCGTAACTTTGAATTATTAATGTTTTAAATAATCATAAAAACTTGTCATATTTTAATACATGTATAAAAAACATTATTCACTTAATTGTTATACATTTACTGATATTCTTATATTAATTTTTTTTTTTTTATTCATAAATTTCCTTTATGTCTAACGTTATTGGTCGCATCCAAATTGAGCCTCAAAACAAAACAAAAAAATATTCTTATTGAGTAACGAGGATAACACTGGTTAAAGCAATTGAGTACAATGAAAAACTGATTATAATAATTATTGGAACCTTCTAATAATTAATAAGTGTTGGCTATAATTTTTCCAATAAAAACATTATCCTTTTAATTTTTACACACAACAATTTATAATATAGTAAAGGTCAGAAACTTAGGATTGTCTAAAATCTTAAAATAAATTTAGGTATGATTAAAAATGTTATTTTTTTCATTATAAAAGTTGGCAGGTACTCAATTTTGACAAAAGCTTATAAAATGTGAAACTCAACTTGTATAATTTTAAAACTGTGTTTATGTTTTGGAAACCAATTCAAATGCACTGACGTTTATAAATAAATCTGAGACTATAATTTATGATTCTGAACTATATGATCTAGAAATCAATTTTACTAATATATATCGATTAAGATTCTCACAAAGTCTAAATATAATAATATAATTATAATATAATATAACTAACATAATAAATATATGATCAATTTTATAGAGTGTTACAATTGCATCTATACGTTTTTATAATGTATATTGTATATGTAGTGCACATAAGTATTACATTATTTTATAATAATATTAATAGTTCATCATTAGTAAAAAATAATAATAAAATGTATTTGGGATTTCATATTCTTTTATGTTTTTATTTACCTATAGAAATAAAGCTAATAATGGTATATTAGGTTTTTAACACTTCACTATACTTATAAAAATAACTTATAATAGTTTTTACTCATTTAAAGTTTACGTATAATCAAAAATTTAATAATTATGTCAATTTAATTATTATGGGAAACTTTTTCCCTTGAGGTTTTCTTGACAATAATAGTATATATATATATATATATATATCGGTTAGGTATTATTGTTTTGTAATTATATGTTATAGCTGGCTTATAACGTACTGATTTGTTCGGCGATAATAACTGATATCAATCTTATAGAAACTACTTTTTCTCTTTAGACATAATATTATGTGTTTTGCCTATTTTAAATTGCCTATTATTTCTAGCACAGGGCGTATTGTTGAGGATATTCGAGGGTGCTTAAGACCCCGCAATAGCGCAATATTGATGTATATGTACACTATACCTGTAAAATTAAAATATTATGTCTCTTATGATGTTTTAATATTTACGGTCTTTTTCAGACGTCATCAATCTATCTAAACTGCATTGAAATTATAAAACCTTTTTTTTTTTTAATTGACCAGGCAGCTTTTTTTAAAAATTAACATTTATTTTTATGATTTTGAATAACACAAAAACGATTTAATTTCATGTTTCAGATGAAATGCAAACTATATGCAAAACTCATTTTCTGCAACAAGTGTACAGGAAAATTGAAGGGGCAGTATTGGACTCACAAAACGAACGGAACTTGGATTGTGTGACGACTTTTCAAACACATTCCATCCTACAGAGGTTTATGATACATTTTGATCGTTTGCAATTGGACTGCAATGATCATTTGTTCATATTCGATGGCGCCCATGCGGTTGGACAGCATAAGGTAAGCCAATCAATAATTGTTTTGCAATATTATATTACCTTATTTTTTAATAAGGGGTATATACAATTACGGATATAAGATAATGTTACTTTAAGTAATATTTTAAACAAAAAAATATGTAAATCAATTTTAAGAAATAGAAAGGATTATATTTTATACGGTTATTTAATTTGTATTTGACAACTAAGTGTTAGAAATAAAAATTTAGATAATATCATTTAGTAACTGTGGATAATTTATTAAAAAGGTTATTGTGTTTATCGTGTTATATGAAACTTGTATCCCCAGACTAGCAATTTCGATTATAATAGCTGCAATGATACTCATGTGTTCAAGTATAACGATCGAAATACTCATAACTCATCAGTTATGAAATAAACAGTGTCGTTTGTATTTCATCACTGTCGGTTCTAGTAGTATATTTGATATCGGTTTTGGTCATTTGAATCAAGTTGGCTGGCGTCACGGAAGTAAGAATATTTCCGGTTACAAAAGCGTTGACTTCGGGTGTCGCATTTACTCCGATTTACTAAGGTCTGGTAAAGATGTTAATTTTATCGATATTCATTTCACAGTTGCCGGATATGAATTTAGATTATACGTATACATACGTATATTTATAAATATATTCAATATAATATGCATATAGTAGGTATAATGTATTTTCAAACAGCCGATTCATCCCAAATACTATGACATATTGATTTTTTTGAATGAAATTCTCACTTTGGAAGGAGCATGTATCGTTATAAATTATAAGCCTCTCTCAGCTCTTTTGTCAGATAAGTGAATTTATTTCTATTTCTATTTATATGTATATATAATATATATCATACTGTTTTTAAAATATATCGTATTCGAAACACGTTTTATGGCGTACCTAATTAGTTTTATTAGATGAAATTTATTGTTTGTTCTGTAATACAGTGTACGTATATAATATTAATATGTGCGTGTAATAATATTATTGAAATAATTTCTTAGGTAAAAATAATTTAACAGTTAACCGAATAATAAAAATTCGTATAATAAATAGTGTGGCTACAAAGAAATGGGTCGATTCCCTTTTTGGCCGCACGCATATTATAGTTTGTGATATGTGAACAAACGGGTTAGGTGGCAATGCGACAAATAAAAAAGTATTTAAATTTTCTGCCAAAATATGTGTAAGCAAAAGGGTCGACATCCACATACCATATCCATACATCATTTACGTATATTTGCCCCCCCCCCCCCGATGTGTTGTAGATGTATTATTAAAAAAGCTAAAGGAATAATACCAACAAGTGTTGCTACTGCCGTACATTTCGCATTGTGTTCAACATCATAATCGCGGTATGTGTGGTATACGATTCAAAGCAATATGATTCCGTTTGTATTTGTATTAAACTCGACTAATTCTAATTATTATCGTTCATACCTACTTGCTGGAGCGTCTCGTGCCCAATAATTATTATCCCGAATCATCGTGTGATCACGCGGGCAGTGGTCGTGAATGTTTGCATTATTACTCTTTAATTCTGTACTATTCGTTCGTGCGGAACTCTAATTTTAGATTTTGCTATAAATGAATTATTCGTTTGAAAATGTATATACTCGTATATATATATATATATATATATATATATATAGCTACATATAACTTTAAATGTATTTTAGGGTTAATTTACTGTATACATTTCGTATGTACCTACTATTAATTTTTTTTTATTTTTGTATGGCGTAAACATTTGTAAAAATAAAAAAATGTCGTTTAAAAGAAAGTTTAGGAAGCTTGTTTAAACTATTTGAATTAATACTATAATCAAAGTACTCTGATCGTAAACGACCGATAACAATTAATTCTCTGACAGCTTTTATAAGATTGCTAATTCATATTATTTATATATTATATTTTATTAATAAATATGGTATATATTTATAAATATATAATTAATTTAATTTTAATGTTACCTACTTTTTAGTAGGTGGCAGGTGCTCATGATAAGCTATATTTTTCAAAAGTAACATACAACAGAAATTTATTGTTAAACGATTTTATACAATAAAGAATATATTATGGTAATTGAATATTTGAATAAATAAATTTAGTTATTCATAATTAAATATACAAAAGATAAACTCTTCTTAAAAAAAGAAAAAAGTGAAACAAGATTTATTGTATTTATTTTAATTTACTCAATAGTAACTATTCTAGCGTACTCTTCGAATATAAGTCTCTATCTTTTCAGTCTACACATTGCACAAAACATATATTTATCATATATCATATACCTGCGAAACGTGTGTAATAAAAAATGACCCTTTAATAAAAAAATGTTTGAGTTTAAGTCTTAGACTATGACTAAAAATAAGTAAAATCTGAAATTTTTCTAGAATTAAAACAAGTAAAACTATTAGTTTTTTCTTTGTAAACTTCATTGAATGGTAATAATAATACAATTATAATTTTTAACGTTGATAAGGCAGAGTTTTACGTTTAAAATTCCACAAACAATAAGTAAATATCGTTCAAACTTAAATCGACTAAATTTTATATTCATGTTGTTTTAAAGAAACCAATACATTGGTGTGAGAAATAGGTGTTGATTATAATAGTATAAATGAAGTAATACAAAGAAGACAACAACAACAATAAAAAAGAAAATGGGTGATTAGAAGGTTACATAAGTAAGATAGTTAAAAATAGCGTACAGAGAGAACTTGTGTTATTGCTACCAGACAAAGCTTTATGAAAACTATTTAAAAACTACGACAACCTATTATATTTTATGGATGAAAAATGCGTCTGAGAATGCACTTCAAACTCAAATTCTTCTGCTCTCCTGACACCCGCTATCGTTCCGGGTAGTCGGCTTTTGTCTTCCAACGATATATTATCACGTATGTGTGTATATAGTGTAAAGAATGCAGTCCTATGTTCTCAACATGTTTGTTGCTTATGCGATGCTGAGACAAGGTCTTGAGTAGGATGTCACTCGAAAATTGATAAGAGTATTAAACGTCATACAGAGAACACAGATTTTAAGTATTTGTGTAAAGGGCTTGCGTATATACTACTATAGTCTATATGAGATTGTAATAATAGTGTTTTAAAAAAAATAAAGTTCTTTAGGTTGATACTACATGACATTTTATTTTTATTTAGGACCAGGCTAATCATGTTACACATTCTAACCGAATACTAAAGGTTCCATGAAGACCAACTTAACCTCGAAATATATAAGAAACTTTGACTTATCATTTTAACCAAAACAATTTAATTGTTTAGTTTTTAAAATCAAATTATATGTATAAAATTATTAAAAAAAAAAAAAAAACACAGTATTCAAACCGAATCAAAATTTTCCACGGGAAAAAATAAACCGTTCTCCAAAACTTTAACAATAATTTATTGAATTGCGCATCAATAATATATTATATATTTATTTGATTTCTATATGCCTGTTAGTGTCACTAACATGTATAATTAAAAGATTATAATTTAACTGATATAAGCAAATACATTTTTGTAACGATAACTATTAATAATTTATTTAAAACAATTTAAAACAGTTGTTTATAACATGTATTCATTGTTTTATTATACTGTGAAATATATTTAATATATAAAATAATCATTTTAATCGTTTTAATTATCTATTAATTTAAAATTGGTTAAGAAAATCATCATATTATAAAAATATATTACTTTTAGACGTTTATTCTATTGGATTATGAAAAATTTCATTTTTATTTTAACTAAATACAATATAACAACCATGTTTAGTATGAAGATACACTTTTGTGAGTTAAACGATCCTAATTATTATATATTACATGGCTTCTAACTCCTTAACCATGTAACCATATTATGTAATAAAACCTAATCAACGAATTTTTACACACATCACGAATTATAGTTAATAACTTTGGGTTGGGTGGACTTAATCGAAACGTTAAATATATTTATACAAAATTTAGACAAATGTTAAAATGTGTAGATTCTACATCAATGAATAATGTACTTTATTACTAAAACTTTAATAATGCAATAAATTCTATACTTACTAATGTATCATTATATAGTTCCACGTAGGCACCGTTACATTTAATGTTGACTGATTGCGTCTTCCAGTTTGTAACTACGATTTATTTCAGTGAGTAGTTCATTCATTTTTCCCCTTAGAGGATGAGGTAATGTCAAACATGATAAATTATCATATTATACATATAAACATATATCTTGTTTTGATCTCTCAGCTACCCACTTGTGAAAATAATTTATAAAAACCTTGAGATAATCTTAATTTATATTAATATTTAAGTAATAAATTACAATACATTTAGATTATAAAATATTAAAAGTAATATTAATAAAAGCATATTAATTGATTCCTATTTATTATTATTATTATTATTATTATTATTATAACTCGTGAATATATAAATTTAAAAAAAAAAAACTTCAAAAATATATTGCCAAATATTTTAATACAGTTAAAATTTATTCTGAATTATTTATTTTAGATCCTACCAAAAATAAGATAAAAATAAATTGTCACAATAACTATAATTAAATATATAAATATATTAAAGTTTAAACTATCGTTTATCGTTATTAAAAAATTGATTTGATTTTTGACGGTGGCATTCTATTTTTACATGTTTTTCTAGTGATTTAATATTATAATGTATTCAATTTATATATTTAACTAATCTACAAACTTCGTTACTGTTTGTAAAAATAATTTTTTTTTTTTTTTTTAATTTGTCATGAATAAAAAAAATACGCTATTGGAAAATAAAATAAAATATACATAATATATTGCCATAGAACTAAGAAATTATAGGTTATAACTCTTTATTAATATTTTTATATTGTCTTATACTTCTCATTTATTTATATTTCATATTTTTTTACGTCAACTTGATAACAAAAAGAAAATATTTAGTAAACGATATACCTATAGATTCCTTAGTCAAAAATACTAAGTCAATGTACGTATTAGTCTTTTGAT